TAGAATCACACTTAATAAAAGTATGTGATTTCCTGTAATATTCACATGAGCTTCCCCGAAACCTGAATTACTTCTTACTGAATGATGTACTATACTATATAATAACCTGGGAAAATCTCTGTGATGCTTTTAAATTATCTTTCCCAACACAATCTCTCTAGAAAGTGTAGCTTACAAAATTGTATCCTACTGAGTTCTGCTTCATGTATAATCTCTTTCTGTAGTAGGAAGCTTGAAAGCTGTTCTGCTGTTCAACAACTTTCACTTGTTTCCCATGACCACCTTATCTCAGCCTAGGAATAAATACTTCCAGATATCACTGCAACAAAGCTCATAATTTTGTACATTAGTTGAATACACTTTCAGGTTTTCTGTTAATAATAAATTATCTTTGAACCTTCACTATGTTAACATTCAAAATTCACTGAAAACAAAGGCTTTCTTTTGACATATTGTGGTTCAACCCCAGCCAGCAACTAAGCCCCATGCAACCACTTGCTCACTTCCCCCATTGGAATGGGGGAAGAGAACTGGAAGAGTAAAAGTGAGAAAACATGGCTTGAGATAAAGACTACTTAATAGAGAAAGCAAAACCTGTGTGCACAAGCAAAGCAAAACTTTCCGAAAGGTCAGATTTTCTCGTTACTTTGCTTTTGTGTTCTTTTGTCCCTGAAATCCAAACAACATAATCATGCAGATGGCTCATAGCAAAATATTCCCTTAATAAGAAATGCTTATCAGCATCCTAACTTATTCAGGGAATCACCAATATTTGCAAGGGCCACACTGGGAAAGCGTCCCCTCCTCAGACTCAGTGCTGCTCACCTAAGATATGTGTGTGTACATGAGATTTCAGCATTTCCATCTGGAGAGAGCTGAGGAAACTAATGCCAAGGAGTTCTTGCTCTCTGTTTCTCATCTTCACCCACTCTGGATGTACCAGACTGTTATCTTTAACTGAAGATACTGAGTTGGTATTTTGGTTATTAAGTTCTAGTGGCAGCAAAAGGGGGTAGGTGTTTTAACCAGTCAGTTTTACTCTTGGATTCTTGTTTTATGCTTTTTACTCTTGAACTATTTTTATGCCTCACTTTGAGTTAAATAGCTTTAATCATATCTCTCAGTGATATAAGGTCTTAGATTATGTTCTCAAAATACTTTACAAAGATTAGTAAGTGTTACTGATGAACAAGTAATGGATTCCCATCCCACAGAAATTTTCAACATATCAAAACATTTCCCTCTATTGAATCAGGACAAAAATCAAAGCAAAAATTGGGGAATAATTAGTTTAGAACATTCATTTCAGTTCTGTAATTTCACTACCTTACATTTCAGTTTCAGTCATTTTAACTTCTCCCCGCATTTTTTTGAATCAGTAAACTGAAAGTTCTTATTTAAAACAGTAGTTATAAAATGTTGCAGCAGTGCCTGTTTTAAATACTGTATTTGAAAATCTGTGCTGAAGCCTTCTTTTTCTTACAAGCAGCTTGGTTTTGAAAAGTTTCCTTGGGAAACTCAGGTTTAATTATGAGAGGTCAACATCAAGTGGAGGGAGAGACCCATTTAGTTGCTTGCACAGATGACTGGTGCCATTCAAGGTGTTCTAAGGTGTCTTACTTTGCCTTGTGTTGCCATTACAAGGGTGGGAGCATCCTTAGGTGCTCTGTCATATTTAACAGCCCATGGCAGATGTCTCAAGTACCCTGTGACAGCTCAGTTGACGTCACCTTGCACAATTGAATTAATGCCAGAGAAACTGAGTCACAGAAGATGATGGTTGGGATTTCACCAGTGCCAGCTAATGCCTACATGAAGCTTGGCACATTATGGTTACTGGGAAGATGAATCTTGAAAATATATGGGTTTACATCTCAGCAAAAACATTCATTAACGTGAAAAAGTAGTTGAAGAGGTGTGCAAAATCTGAAATGCCAGGAACCTTTCCTTTTCTTTTTTAATGACAAATACATACTGAGAGCACACTGGTGGTGCTCCCAAAATATAAATAATAGGTCTACACTACTCACAGACAAGGCATGAGGAAAACAGGCGAGTGGGCCCCCTTTTTTCTCTTTTCTCTGTAAAGCAGAATACTGTGATAGAAAAGTGCAAACAAAGTTTGCCTCTTCCCAGTCACACCTGGAGAACAAAGTCTGTACAGATCACTCAGTGAGTGGAAGCTGTCTTCTTGAAAAGTGAGCCACATACGTCTCTCTCACATAGATAGAAAAAGTTGGCCACAGCTGCTTCTGCAACAGCAGCAGAAGTTTCTCTGAGAATGAAGAGAAATGGAATGAGAAAACAGATAAACAGAGAGAACAGCGGCAATAAAGTAGGAAAAATATGTTTCTGGAGATGCCTATTTAAAGGAAACCCGTGGTTCACCTGGGAAACTAATAGTCAAGAGAGTGAGATTTGGAGGTTCTGGAGAGCACCAAGAACATCAGGAGGTCTCTCATATTGGGGAGATAAAAGTTAAATTTGCCAGTACTAGTCTCCCTAACTAAATCCACACATATTTTCTGAGGAGGAGTAGCTTTTGTGACAGCTGGATCACCTTTCAGAGAAGGATCTGTCCTTATTTCGGTGGGATTTATCTTAATTGGAGGCAAAATAATGTCAAGTAATATAAAATTCTTCTCTGTATAGATACTTCAATGTGCAAAATACATTTCTATGAAATTCCTTCTGAAAATAACAGGTGTCCATGTGTATGTTCATACATGAATATTTGTGAATGTGTATATATGTGCTTAAATCATCTACATAGGCAGCTCTCAGTATCTTTTATTTTGCAGTTTAGCTTTTTCAGTAGGAGCTGAAAGGTCATAAAAATTCCATGCAAATGCAGTTTTTATTTTTTTTCATATGCCAGTGTTCCTGTTCTTTCAAATAATGTAAAAGCTTTATGCAAATTTTGCCTCGTTTTTCTCAATCACAGTTTTCCAGCATCTTTTTCATTCTGGAGAACCAAGTATTTAGAACTGGATATGTTTTTAAAGGTGATATATTTCCAAGGAGTTTTTTTGGACAGACACTAGTGAATGTCTAGTAAGGTATAAGGTAGTTAAGAGAGTAGTGAATATAATCTGGTGCATCACTTTGCAGCATTCCCTGAGTGCCCTCACCTGTTGAACCCAGAAATTACTGACACTGTAGCAAAAGCAGCAGGACACAAAACACACTTTCATCTCATTGCTCCAGTTCACAGTCCAGAATATTGGTTAAGCCTACAAGGAGGGTAACTTTGTGTGAGGACCCCAGATAGAGAACTGCAGAAGCTTGTGCACCTAGTGGACATTCTTTTCTGCCGGCCATGCTACGGAGTGTGTCAATGTTCAGCACAAGGAATGGGCAGACTGATAAAGCCATAAGCACCTTCAAATGCCACAGCTCAATTATCCAAAAAATGTCTGCCAGGGCATGTACTCATGTGGAGCTTATCTTCAGTGCAGGAGTAGATCTGAGTTTTCCCAGTCATGATACCAACACTCAGAGAAACTAAAATCACATGGAACCTTTTTCTTCTCCCAATTGGCAATAAATGCCATGTTTCCTTTCTACTATCATTCATAGCTCTTTCAGCTGTATGGTTGCCCAAATATTTCCCCCTCTGCTGAATCGCTGCTGTATGATCAAGTGTTTCCCAGCACACATGATTCTGTTCTAAGTAATACAAATCCCTGTGCGTGCTGAGGGCTCTTTGCAAACGTGTGGGGAGCCGGGAGCAAAGTGTGGAGGCAGAGCAGGGGTCTCTCTCTCTTCCCCAGACTCCAAGTCAGGCCAGCAAATGCCACCCTTGCAAGCCAGCCCATGTTGACTGCAGTTGTGGAACATCTGGGTGGTGTTTGTAATTTTTGTAATTCAGTGCATCAGGCTTCTGGATAAGTGGAAAGGAGCAAAACCAATTGTTTTTTTAGCACCATGGGCTAGTTTTGCAATGCTGCGTACTAGCAGGAGAGAAGCTGATGCTGACATCAAGAACTGGCCCACACTCGCACTATTTTAATGCAATCAGTCAAAAATTATGTACCTGGTATCAAAGTGGTAGTATACAGTGATATCTGAGTTGAGGCCATTCTCTTGCCATGCTGCCTTGCTTAACTGCATAAATACTCCCCCTAGACCACCTACTCAAAGACCAGCAAAGGTACCACCTGTATCATTACCGAGTGCTTCCTCTTGACTGGTTTACAAAATGATGTGGCAGGCCTGTCAGGGAAATGTCCACTCTTTCACTGACTGGTGAAATGGTACTTTTGAGAGTTCAGAAATAGAGGTCATGAAGACATGCAGGAATTCATCCTTTCTGTCCTCGCCCCAAAAATTGATTTCATACAGTCAATTTCTGCTTATTAAGAAAAAGATGTTATATAAAAATTTTAGGTAAATTATAACATTTACTCCAAATAAGAAACAATTTTTAATATCCTATAAGGAATTTGGGGTCTGATTACACCAGTATATCACCAAACCACATGCAGCAAGTTTTGTCAAGTTTGCATATGCACAGGTGATAATAAATGGTGCAAAGAAGTGGAGATCCATCCCATTCATTTTGTTTTTATAAACCAGCAGCAAGGAAAGCCAATTGTAGCTTTTTCAGAAGTTACTAGAAGAGTATGTTATTTTTAAACTGGTAGTCTTTTTCTACATAAATATAAAAAAGTGTTCTTCTTTATATGAGAAATCATTATTTCCTCTTTTGCGAATCATTTTGTAAAATTAGGAAAAGCCTTGCAAAAAAGTCCTCATATAATGATAGTGTGTGAAAAATGTAAAATATAATTTAGGAGGTTTTTTTAAATGAATTACTTTTTCATTGTTTTATTACTAATAGCAAATGCATTTCAAAATCAGAGTAACTTCTTAAAATCCACAGATCTTTACAGTGCTACTAAAATTGTGTTTTGATGTCTTTGACATGATCCCTGATTACTGTGAGAAGAATCAGTTCAGTATTTTTGTTCTTAGATTCCCCCTCCTTTGTCTTGCAGCTACTTGTGGCAGATTCCATTAACAATTGCAGTAGGAAATACGAGCCACATCTCATCAGAGGCAATTATATGGGTGTCTAACAAATCAGGTAAAAATAAACTTTCCTCCCAGTGGAATCTCATAAAGCATACTTGTGTTTTCCTCAACTGTTTCTTTGGAATTGATCCTAGATAATTGTTTAGTTGCTCTGCACCCAGGTTTAACTACTTAAAATGAATTACAAAAAAAAAGGAGAGTTGGGAAGGGAGGGAGGAGGAATGAAAGATGAGCAACAAGCTAGATTTATAATTATTGCAGAATTTAGACAGTATGATGTAAAGCTTTTATGTAGAAATATGTAACTAAATGCTAAGTATTTTATATTTGGCAACACATATCAAATCATTGATGAATGCAATTCATTTATTGATTGGTGAAAGTGAAATGTATTATTTTATAGCAAAGCATCTGATGAGTATGATTTAGTAAATTTAGAATTCTATAATTTTTGACTCTGATCTGTGGTCTGAACCAGGGCTAAGAAATGTTTGCTGTAACTAAAATTTTCCTTATTGATCTATCAAAAGTATTTGTTCTCTCTATTAGATAACCATATGCTGGACCTCAAAAGTGCATTATTTTGCTTATTACTTTTTTTCTTCCTCCTCAGTTCCTACATGATCATAACAGTAATAGTTATTGTCCTGAGGACAGTGAGTGCTAGATACCAGTGGTTTTTTATCACCTAAAAAAAAAAAATCCCGCCATAGCAATGTCCTGAAATATTTATTTCCTTAGCACTTCATGCTACATTGTCTGACAATTTTGGACTGGAATTGAAGAGAGTGAGGGAAGACATATCGAGACTTGAATAGAAGGATTATATGGAAGGGAAAAGAAGGATCCACGCATCCCCTTGACACATGGGCTGTACAGGGAGAACCGATCCCTTCCTGTAAAATTAGAAGGGTACAGAGATTTCCCTCTGATAGAAATTTATTGGGAGAGATGAGGGTGTCAAACCTGTGTGAGACTTCTTTTCCTCTTTTATAAGTTACTATAATATATTAGTCACATAGAGCTCAATAGCCAGTAGGAATGGAGATGTATGGTGCGTGATCAGTAGAAATCTGAGTACCCCAAATTTCTAGTGGTATAGGGTGTGTTTCTTTACCCTGATCATTTGCAGCCTATGAGAAAGCAACATGTTTTATACCGCTCCCATGATATAATGATCTAGAAATGTGCCTGTGATCAGGGCACTTTTTGTACCTGGGAAACATACTCTAGTAAGAGCATACGGATGCTGCTTCACTTCTCAGAAACTTACTACATTGGCCATACTTTTTAATATGAACATCTCTGAAATACTTCAAAACCTGTTTGCACTTTCACAGCCTGCGTTAATGACCTGCTCTACTTTTGTCCTTTAGGGCTTGACTGAACTCTCATTGAAGTTATCAGAAAGATTCCCACTGACTTCAGAGAGAGTTGATCACCTCATCTCATCTCATTAGGTTGCACATGCATGCCTCCTTCCCTTCGCTCCTGCCTTCAAAGTTCATTATATCACTGTTATCTACACAGATGGTTCCTCATTGCTTTTTGCATGCAGAGTGCTGCGGAGGAACAAGTCCATAAAACTGCTACCCAGTCTTTTAAGATCTACTGTTCCTATTGGAATGCCTTCAAGAAATCAACAAATTAATGATGGCCAGTGTAAGCAATTATTTTGGGGTGGCTACTATATAGAAATTAAAGAGGAACCTTTCCGAGTCATCTGTCTCCTGTATAGCAAATCAATGGCACTGTGATCTATTGCCATTATCCTTGTTCGTCCTCATTACTTTCACTCACTCATTCACTTACTGTGCCTCATTGAAAATGAGGCTGTAAACTTATGACTACATCAAGCATGTCCTCTTGCTTCTACTTATTGTTATCTAGCTCAGCTGGAGAATTCCTCAACATAAAAAGTCAGTAAGAACATCCCTGAATGTACTCAATGTATGATTCATTGTACATGCTGTTATGTATTGAGGCTGGTATAGAGGATTTTGTGTTACTCCTGGAGTTTTTCTGCAGCTTTGTGGGGATGTGGGAGGGATTCTGAGACTCCAAAGGACAGTTCCCAGGATTGATTTTTGTGGACTGGAAGAATCATGAAGACATTCTGTTGTACAGAGGACACAATTTCAGTGTTGTCCCAGTGAGTAGTCTGGGAACAACTCTGCAAGTTGGAGGTGAAACAAACTACTCCAAAGGATATTTGGAAGATTGGGAGTGGTCACATTGTTCTTCAAGTGAGTATAATTGAATGAGATACTCAAATCAAGTTTGGAATAAATGCTGTTCACGAGGATGGTTTCTGTGCCCTTTGAGGAAAGAGTAGGCAATTCCTTCTTTTTAACCAAACTGTCATGCTGGAAGAGCTTCCAGTGTAACCTGAGGAGTGGATAGGAGGTAATGAACAGCTCTCTTTTGTTTGCCATGTATTAGTGATCACAGACCTCATTTCTGCTGCCAATAGTGAAGAGGGTTCAAATTAATGACTACCATTATGATATCTTGGCATATCACTTAAATTTTTCAATAAAATTAACCTTGTCTGTGGGTTATCTGAGAGAAACAAAACCATGGCAATTTTGAAATAGCTACATATATTGCCATCAAGAAATATTCCTTTTTTCTGGTATTTCAAATAATATCTCAGGGGAGTAAATCCCCTGCCTTGTACTAGAGTTCACCTAGGATGGTTATTTGCTAATGGAAGAGTCTTTTCCTTCGTGTACATCCAGAGAGGCAAGAGAGAGAACTGCTGATTTTTGCATCCTTTTTGAGTCTGTGACCTCATCAAGGTATTGTAGGATGCCAATTGGCATTTTCATGAACAAGGGATAAGAGGTTGCTATCCAGTTTTGTGAGAGCCACATGAATGTAGGGTGATTGAGTTGCTGCTCTCTACTCATCCTGTCAGTGTCTGGCTCTATACCAGAGATAGTGAGCACGCAGATAAGTGATTGTTCAATATGCTGAGCAGGATTAGTTCAGATAACTGCAGATCATCCCAGCTGCTGGCAACAGTGCTAATTCTGTCCACTCTTCAGTAAAGGCCTGCTCTGGAAATTACAGCTATGCAGTGTCTTTTTTGAGATGTAATTCATTATCCTTTGCAGCAAATCCTGTAGGGAAGACAATGCCAGACGTTGGCAACTGTCTGATGAAGTTCATTGTCTCCAAGATGTTTCATTTTCAATATATCTCTTCCCACCTGTTTGTGGAAGGTACATAGTTATAGTTTTGGAAGCTTTTAATTTTCCAAGTGCTTCTGCCAGTCTCTCTTCTCCTTACCCAGTGAGCCGTGGCATTTTTGTAACCATGTTTGTACTCATCAGTTCATATACCTGCCACCAGATGATGACCATTTTACTCGCTTAGTTTGTCTGGTGTGTGAAATGGACCTGTCTTGTTTGCTCTCAGAGTTCTGCACAGATAGGTCACCACCACTTTTTCCCTGTTCACTCCCTATAGCCATGGATGAGGGTGTTCTGCTTCAAGTGAGTGTAAACCAGTCACAAAGGAGACATCTTATGATTAACCTTCCTATCCATGCTGAGGTCAGAGATATCACACTAAGGTGGCTGCAATGCTCTTTGTGCCTTAGTCTTGCACATCTGCTGAATGATAAATTTCACTGCCACTGGGGAAATCATTGGTGTTACAAACTTCTGCTTTGTCATAAACCTAGGGCTTGTTTCTGTTTTGCCTAGATAAGTTGCCTCTTTTGTGGTTGCTGTAATAATCTATAACCATGTATCCACAGCGTTTTGGGATCCCCCCAAAAGCAGTGGATAAAATTCAAGAACTGGCTTTGAACCCATTACAGCCTCACAAGATGACTGCTTAGCTGGGCTTGTGGGAAGGTGTTGGCAATTGCTGCTGAAGGCATACTAAGTGTGGAAGCACAGACTCACCTGTCATGTTTCGGCAAATGCAGAAGAACTGACCATGACCTGAAGTGAGGAGGTTTAGGTAGCATCCACTTTCAACAGGCGAGCAGGGCTTTTGATAAAGGCAGACTTGCTGTTCCCTGGGCATCATTGTTCTGGTGCTCAGTCTCCAAGTAGGAAACATCTCCATGCAACTCAGCAAGTGTTGCTGAACTGACTGACACAGCTTTACAGTCTGTCCTTTCCATCCCCACCTCCTGTTTGTTGACTGGTTTCTTATGTTCTGGGGAAATATTCCTCTGATGAACTTCTCTGCCTCTGATAAAATGACTGCTATTCAGACTGCTGTAAGTATCTCCTCAGGATTGCCATAAGATGGGGGAAAGGAAGTTCAACATGGAAATTGATTTCCAACAAGTCCCAATTTACTATGCCACCTCCTATTAGCTAAATCTCTACTTTAGCTGTAAGCCACTTGACCATCAGATTCTCCTCCATGAAGTGTTTTGTAGGAGACAGATGCTTCTGAGCTGGGGTTTGCTAGCTGCCCACCGGGAAAGAGAGCATTAGTTGTAGCTTTAGAAAAATACCTTTTTTTTTTCCTTTCGGAGACTCAGCTGCTGAGCTTTACCTGTGTTGCTTCCAGACTCCACTCTTGTATCTTTCAAAAGCAGGAGGAAGAGACAGAAGACTGCTGCTTACACTGTGTATCACCTTAGACTTTAGCAGTTCCATCATATAGGAATGTTAATTGATGGAAGGGTAGTCTGAGGAAAGATTATGTGAGATAGAACTTGATCATTTTGATCATATTTCCTGATGACCTTCATTTATTGTGTTATTCCCTATACCAAAACATTTTCTTTCATCATGGAGCTATGGCTACATGGCAAGTGAGATAGAACTTTTTTTTCTGGTTTCCTTCTCCCCATATGAAAAGTTCATGCAAGAAGATTTGTAGAATTTAGTTAGTCAGTATCTTTTCACAAAATATTGTGATTATGATGAATTTCCTCATGGAACATTTTTATTTACCAGAAAAATTTCACTTTCTGTTCTTGACATAGAATTTTGCTACACTTGTGCAGTTATTTTTGCAGCAAAATGGAGTGAGTTCTCCCAGCATAAGCCAATTTCTTAGTATGCTAGGGGTTGTATAAAATGAAAAGTTAAAATAACAGCTGTGAGTCTGAACATTTGAAATGGTAGTGGAACTGTGTTTAGCTATGCTCTTTGCAGCACTGACATAGTCTTCCAGAGGAGTGCTCTTCTCCCAGACCTGCCTCACATGGTGCTCGGGTTACCGTGTGGAGGAGCAGACTTCCATCATTTTTGCTGGTTTTGAAGGAGTTGAAGTTGCTCGAGAGCTGGGAGAGCACAGAACTTCAAGCCACGTGCAGGTAGCACCAGCTGGAGGACTGTCTCACACTTTGAGAGCAGAGAAACTGGGAATAAGACCCTAGCTGATTTTCTTCCTTCAAAACAAATGTCATAAAACTTAAACATTTCCTTGTAAATATTTCCTATATGTATGTGGCAAAACTGGAAGTTTCAGAGCAGCATTGTTTTCTGAGGCATCCAGAGAAAACACAACCATGGAAAAGCACTTTCTGATGAAAGAAGATTAAAAAAAATTCCCTTTAATCTCAAATACAACTGGATATATATCTTAGATTGAATTTTAAGAGGTGAACTAAAACTGTCAAAGATAGATTTCATTTCAAATTAAGTCTTTGTTGTTGTTTAGAAAGTCATGAGTGTTCTAATACAGAATTTAACACTGAATTACTACCTTTTCCCTAACTATAATACTTTTAACAGGAGACTAGTAAATGTGTTTTTAGTAAGTGGAGACATTACCCAGGTGTATAGACATTTTTAGTGCTATAATCACCAAAACAAAGAATTTCTTTTATAGGAAAATGTGAGAATTGACAAACACAAATATCAAATTCTACTAAATAATATAGAACTGTGTGAAGCACATGCATCAGGCAGCTCCTTGAAATAACCACCTTTTTATATTAGCTGAGAAGGTGTGAAACATTCTTGTTCCGTATTTCAGGAGAAAGTCAACACATGAGCAGTCATAGAATCATAGAATCATAGAATCATAGAATCGATTGGGTTGGAAAAGACCTCCGAGATCATCGAGTCCAACCCTTGGTCCAAATCCAGTCCATTTACTAGATCATGGCACTCAGTGCCACGTCCAATCTGCGTTTAAAAATCTCCAGGGCTGGTGAATCCACCACCTCTCTGGGCAGCCCATTCCAATGCCTGATTACTCTCTCTGTAAAGAATTTTCTCCTGATATCCAACTTAAATTTCCCCTGGCGGAGCTTAAGCCCGTGCCCCCTTGTCCTATTGCTGAGTGCCTGAGAGAAGAGACCAACCCCCCCCTGGCTAGAACTTCCCTTCAGGTAGTTATAGACGGCGATGAGGTCACCTCTGAGCCTCCTCTTCTCCAGGCTAAACAACCCCAGCTCCCTCAGCCTCTCCCCATAGGACTTATGCTCCAGTCCCTTCACCAGCTCTTCTCTGGACCCGCTCCAGCACCTCCAGGGGAAGGATCACTTCCCTGCTCCTGCTGGCCACGCTATTTTTGATACAGGACAAGATCCCATTGGCCTTCTTGGCCACCTGGGCACACTGTTGGCTCATGTTGAGCTTCCTGTCAATTAGTACCCCCAGGTCCCTTTCTGCCTGGCTGCTTTCCAGCCACTCTGTGCCCAGCCTGTAGCGCTGCAGGGGGTTGTTGTGGCCAAAGTGCAGGACCCGGCACTTGGCTTTATTGAACTTCATCACATTGGAATCAGCCCATCTCTCAAGTCTATCCAGATCCCTCTGCAGAGCCCTCCTGCCTTCCAGCAGGTCAACACTCCCTCCCAATTTGGTGTCATCAGCAAATTTGCTGATGATGGACTCAATCCCCTCATCTAAATCATCAATAAAGATATTAAACAGGACTGGACCCAACACAGACCCCTGGGGAACACCACTGGTGACAGGCCGCCAGCTGGATGCAGCTCCATTCACCAGCACTCTCTGGGCCCGACCCTCCAGCCAGCTCCTAATCCAGGAGAGGGTACACTTGTCCAAGCCATGGGCTACCAGCTTTTCCAGGAGTATATTATGGGAGACGGTGTCAAAGGCCTTGCTGAAGTCTAGATAGACCACATCCACAGCCTTCCCCTCATCCACCAGGTGGGTCACCTGATCGTAAAAAGAGATCAGGTTGGTCAGACAGGACCTGCCAGTCTTACCAGAAAATAATGGCAAGTGGTTATGGTTGTATTTAAACTAACTAAAACAGCAATAATGCCATCAAGCTTCTGAAAGATATTCTCCTTTAATGCCATGTGTGTTGGGGATGTTGCATAGCTGTTACTTATGAAATAGGTTATTTAGAACTTGTCATATTTGACTGGCAAGTACCATTCAATACTCTATTAAAGCAGAAGTAATTTCCTCAAATACTGAAACAAGAATAAGGGTATGTATTTTTTTGTTACATCTGATTTTGAAAATTTCCATTTAATGAATTTATTTACCCAGATAATGCTTAAGAAAGGCTTATAGCCCATTTGGTATGCTTTTAGGTAGTATCATAGAGGTGTGGGGATTAAGCAGTCACAAGTAGCTGCTTTCAGGAATGGTGGTATTTAGAGGTTAGTTTGCAACTGAAGAACATGGGCAGAAGGCTGTACTGCATTAAGGTGATAGGATTTTCTGCCTAGAGTGAGCAGCCCGCTCCTGACCCTACCATGGCAGTATGCCCCTAAAAACCCAGAGAAACTCTTAAAGTCATCCTTTCCCTCAGCATTGTCTCCTAGATACAGAAGTGTGTACTTTTTCCTGTTTCTTTAAGAAACCCACTATGTTGGTAAAGAATATAGCTGATGTTTAGGGGTGACAGGCTGTATTCAAAGCACCACACTGGGAAGAATAAATAGGATGGAGTAGATCTGGATTCAAATTTCTTCTCTCCCTTTTTTTACGGGAGATATTTGATCCAAATCTGTTCTAAGAAAATGCCTTTATCACTATGGTGTAAATTGTTACAATCTCATATAATTTTTCTACAGTAATGTTTTTATAAGGTTACACAGGAAACAGGATTCAAGTCGTCTCTAAGTAGCATGGTGCAGTGGGGTGGTTCTGACGTTGGGTCCAGTGAAAAAAGGATTTAAACAGAAGAGCAATTTCAGTATAGCAGTCTAAGAGAGTTTGGTAAGGACTGAGCTGCACAGCCCAGTGTTTATTAGACCCCTGTGGAAGAAGGGACACACAGTGTTACAACCTTGTCCCAAATCAGACTGTGTGGCAAAAGCAGCTTAGGTGGTTTGACAGTATGAATGCTTGGGAAGTCCACAGAGTTGTAGGACTTCATTCTGATTTTCTCAGTCCAATTTCTGCAGGATATCTTTGCTCCTAAAGAATATGTCCACTTGGTGCTTTATCACAGATTATTTTCACTAAACCCAGGGGTCTGTATTTTTTTTTCTCATTTGTTTATATAGAGTAATTAGATTGAGCTGGTAAGAGTCTGTTAGACAAACCCTAAAGGAGCAATAACAGTTGAATTGACTAGGCAACAACTGAGTTATTCTAGGCTTAATATTTCTAAGAAGTGTATTTTTAAGATGTTTTAATGATTTCAGAACTCCCTAGGAGAGATGAGGACTTTATTTTCTAATCCTGCAGCTTTTTGTCTAAATTCACGTGCATGATGCAGCTCCATGAATTTGCACATATAATTATGTGTCTTTAAGATTGGGGTCTTGCTGATCTTTGTATTTATTGCACCTTAAAATAATAGTTATTTGTGGGTTTGCTTAGTTGAGGGAGAAGCATAACTTTTATTTGTAGTCCTAGTCATCTATTATTTACTCAGAAATTACTTTTTTATAAGAAAGACTGAAACAAATCACTTTCTTTAGTAAATCTGTGTACTAGATAACATGTGCGAATTGTAAAGACCACGTTGTTAACTTTTTTCCTGATCGTTACTTTCAGGGAATTCAAGCATACTAAGCAATTCCCTGATGGAATTACATTTATAACAAATTTTATGTATTTCTTTTTTATTTTTAAAATGCCTGAGAAAACTGTTTCTTCAACAATGTACAAACTAATTTTTTTATAGTAAAAAAAAGTTTTGGAATTTTTAGTGAGTTCTGGTTCATGATTAGTTTTGTCAGAATAATTTACTAGATTGAAGACTTCAAGAAACACGGAAGCCTGAGGCTTCATCCTATGGTAATTCTTTCCATAGTGAAACAAAAGTGTGTGTTATGAGTTCAGCGTGTTTTTGTTGTTGAAATCCCTAGTCCTGCAAATAGTCGTGGAATACTTGACCGTAGAAATACTGTAATAAATTTAGACTTTCTGCCCCGAAGTGATTACTTAAAATGAGGGGAAAGATGAAGAACAGGTTAGTTGATATAAGGTTCTAGCTCTAAAGAGAAGCCTCTCAGTGGTTAGTAGCTAGAAGCTGTACAACTGGAAATACTTTAATTTAGAATCCAATATAAAAGCTTCATCAAATACATGCAAAAACACTTAGGAATTTATTTTTTTAATCACAGGTTTAGTCTTCTCTCTATAACATATCCGTTGAATTATTCGAGTTACAGTTGTAGAAAGCTGTTTTAGCATCACCAGAATCAGGGTACCAAACTTAAGATGTGTACTTCTCACGTAAATAATATTTTCCAGGGGACAGAAAAGCATACTTGGAGTTCTGTGTGGGTAAAAGGTCCCCATGGGAATGTCAGCTGGCATCTCTCTACATCAGAACAGATAAAGGAGATTATTGTTAATCAAGCACAATGTTTTTGTTAGTCTTTCACTTAATTTTGCTGCCTTCGTGTATACTTAAAGAAGGAGAAAATTTAACTGATATGTCTTTATAATTTTTAAATTTAAAACCAAAACCCCTTCCCTTCTTGTTCTTTGTTTCCAGAACACCACAGAATTCCTGCTTTCGAAGAGGCAGGTTGGTTGCTGGGGAACATCAACCAGACTGGCTACTTTAGAGTTAATTATGATATTAGGAATTGGAGGCTGCTAATTAATCAGCTAACAAGGAACCATGAGGTAAGCTCCTATTCTCATCCCTAAAATCTACTTTCATAGGTGAACCTTCACTGTTCCATCACCCTAAATGGTTCAATTTTTGTGCTTGGCCCTCACAGGTTATCTCTGTCAGTAATCGAGCAGGCTTAATCGATGATGCATTCAATCTAGCCAGGTATGTTTTCCTGAAGATCGTCTATCCTCATACACATTGCTGCAATAGTTCATGCAACTGTTAACTCAGCAGTTGAGTGTGCTTCGAACTTAAATATGTCTTAAACATACGGAAGTTCTTTTGCGTCCCCTCTCTTCCTTTTTTTTGTGGCACAGAAACCTGGTCTGTGGCACGTTCACTCCTCTTGATCAATAATTGCCATAGGGTATTTCCGAGTCTGAAGATATCTGATCAATTTTGCAGCAAGTTCAATTTTACACTTTGAAGATAAATAATCTCTTTCCTCTTTCTCTAATGAATGAAGGTTTTTTCTTCTGTTTCTCCCTAATGCCCTGCCTCTCCTTTTTTTTTTTTTTATAACTGACCCTTGTGGTGTGTTTAATTTGTTATGGAAGGCACCTTTAAGCTTTAGTAATTTTTTTTTGCCCTGATTTGTTGTAGTGGATTGACTCTGGCCAGATGCCCAGTACCCACTAAAGCCACTCTCTCACTCTCTCTCTGCAACTGGACAGAGGAGAGAGAAAAAAACAGCTAAGGATTCATGAGTTAAGAGCTGGGAGAGGTCAGTTACTGATTACCTTCATGGGCAAAACAGACTCAAAGTGGGGATAGGACTTAAATTTATTACTAACAGGATAAGAGCCAAAGAGTGAGAAATAAAACAGTTTTAGAAACATCTTCCCCCAACACCTCCTTCTTTCCATGTTCTCCCTTCTGCCCCACAGTGCAGGAGGACAGGGAATGGGGGTTTCGGTCAGTTGTTGTTTCTGCCCCTGCTCAGGGAGAGGAGTCCTTCCCTTGCTCCCGTGGGGTCCCTCCCACGGGAGACAGTCCCTTGATGGACCTCTCCAGCGTGAGTCCATCCCTCGGGCAGCAGTTCTTCCCAAACTGCTGTCCTGTGGATCAGTCCTCCATGGGGTGCAGTCCTTCATGAATGAGCTGTACCGACGTGGGTCCCCCCAGGGGCCACAAGTCCTACCTGGGAAAAACCTGCTCCTGTGTGGGCTTCCCTCTCCATGGGCTTCAGGTCTCCAGCAGGACCCTGCTTCATCCTGGGCCTCCAACAGGGTCACAACGTCCTTCATGCATCTACCTGCTCCAGCAAGGGCTCCTCCATGGGCTGCAGGTGGGTCTCTGCACCCCAATGGTCCTCCATGGGCTGCAGGGGCACAGCTGCTCCACCATGGTCTGCACCACGGGCCGCAAGGGCCACAGCTCCAGCAACTGGATCACCTCCTCCCCCTCCTTCTGCACTGACCTTGGTGTTTACCTTGTTGTTCCCATGTTTTCGCTCTGCTCTTCCCTGTTTGGAATTCCTTCTGCGCCACAACCTTCTGTTCTTAAATATGTTATCACAGAGGCATTACTATCATTCTCGATGGCTTGGCCTTGGCCAGTAGCAGGAAGTCTGTCCTGGAGCCGGCTGGCATTGGCTCCATGGGACAGGAGAAACCACCTCTGTAGCCCAACCCTCGCTACCAAAACCCAGCCACAGAAACCCACTACACTTGTATTGTTATATCATTTTCCCAGTATCTTTCTTTTCTTGTAATCTGCTGGAACAGACTCTTTTTTTCTGTGTGGTGCTTTTCACACAGAATGGAAAAGCAGTTCCATTGAGCATTTCTGGAATTTGTACAGCATTCATACAGCATTTTGAATTTTACTATGATCAGAGTGCTGTTAGCTAGTGCCTCCCTTGGCTGCAAGGCACAGTGCAGAAAGTTGCCTCACTTTCTTTTGGAACAGTACCATGGTTTGGATATTACCTGCCTTGTGGATGCAGTGCTGATACTTGTCTGCATTGCACAATGTGCGTTTCTCCCTGCCCATATGACATTTCGTGATGGGGAGATTAAATGCATACACTTGTCTTTGACTGTGACATGAGAAAAGGTGAGTAACCTTATTGACCAGGCATAGAGGCAGTAATTGGTAGTTCAGACCTGACTTCTGAGAAGACCGGCTGTTTTTAACAGTAATTCAGCCCTCGGTTTTGGTTCCCAGTTGCAACGATGTGTTATCTTCTTGTCTACAACTATAAATATACATATTTTGAGAGACAGAACTGTGGAATACGTACTTTAATCCCTAGCTATTATTTTCAGTGATGAAATAATTCCAAAATTAAAACATAACTACTTAAATTCATGCTGGTCCTTTTAAAAATAATTTCTAACATAAACAGTTCTTTTTACTGTACTGAAGAGACTGTATTTCTTAGAAACTTCTACAGTACTCTCTAATGTGTCGTTGAACTTGATGCAGATAACACCAAAAGGATTTAACTCAATTTTTTCACTATCCTAATATGGTAGGTCCTAATATGATTATTTCTATGTAGTTTTACTGCTACTTGATTTTGTTTATGGAACAAGTACTGGTCTTCTCTTTAATAGAATTTAATAATATTTAGATCTCGAGAAATATGAAGAAAATTGCTCATATAAATTATTTTGGAGCACCACATTTTATTTTTTAAAGGTGTTTTTGATTTCATTCCTTCAAAAGGTTTATTATCCTTTTACTGTCCAGCATAATGATTTCTCAAAAATAAAAAACATAAATGAATTGTTACTACCAAGGAATATTTTAAGCTTTATAGCTTTAATTTCATAATTTTTTGCCCATTTTACGTGGAAATACATTCCTTCATCTTCCTTCTTGGTGTAATTTTGTTAACATAACACATCAAGGAGAGTTAAGTGGAATAATAACCACAAAAGAAAGTTACAACCTGCTTGTTTTCCAGATTTTTAAGCATAATTCTGTTCTCAGTGGTAGTGCATGCATGCACACACCCTTAAGATCTGGAAAGCTGTAGTCTTGGCAGTAACGTAGCTTAGGGAAATTTATGCCCCGCATTCTTGAGCAGGAATAACACTCTTCCCTTCTTCTTGAAGATCCTTTATTTTTCGCTTTGTATGAAGTTTCAGTACAGTTTGAAAATATGTTGATTCTAGTAAATGTACTAGTAAATGTTGACTAAGAAAACCAAGAAGCTGAGAGAAGACAAATAGAACTGTGGTTCTCTTCTAAGCTTAAACAAAGCAGAGGTCATTTCAGATAGCTCCAATAAGCAATGTCAAAATAAATAACAAAGATCCCACTGTTTTAAGCATGAGTAATGCCGTCAACTTCTCCTGTCTTTCTCTTTCCTTAGTATAAGTGATCAGTCAGTGAGTATGTGAGGTGGGATGCCTCCCATTTTACTTTAGGCATCCCAAAGGTAGACCTGTAAATCTGACATTCTCACCTTGTACTGCACTGACAGTTAATGGAGAGAAACATGCACCTGACCTCTCAAAACTACTTAACCATATAGGATAAGATAAATCACTCAATGTTAAGAGTGTTGTGTCCCTCCTGGTTCTTCCTTGATGGGCTCTAAATGGGCTCTTCGTAAAAGATTTCCCTCATTAAACTGGTTGACTTAATCCAATATTATGTGAAAGAAATAGGTCTGGTTTGTATTTAATGTTAATCAGTGTTGGACCAGATGTGACTGGGAATATCTATTTTACTGTCACCTAAAATAGTTATTGTTGTTTCCAGTTCTTGAAGCACTGAATGAGAAAGCATGAAGCTGTGTTGTTAAATAATTGTTCTTACACTCCAAGGATGGATGACTGTGTTGGAGTGCTGTCAATTTCCTTGCACAGATTAGGAGGAGAGTGAGCTATAGCCTCTTTAGATGTAGCTTGCCCCTGTAGACTTGACAAATATAGAGAACTGTGTCAGAAATGAAAAACAACAAAAATATACCTTCAAAATTATCTGTGAACTAAGTTCATCATGTTGTAGATGGCCTTCATAAGTGTTCCTCTCAGAATTTCATACACTAGACCAAAACCAGGATCCTTGTGTGAATAGATATATGATGAGTTATGATGATTGTTTTCCTGCTGTTAATCAATTCTTTTTGCCTTGCTTCTTTCCAAACTGTGAGTTCCGCTGACTCTAGAAAACCAAAGTCTGAGGGCAAGGGAAAAGGCAGTGCCAACCTACTTTTCAATATATAAATCCAAATTATCCCCCTTGACACAAATTTATCTTTAACAGCTGGTGCATTTGACTCCAAGGTTGATTCCAGAAGTAAAATACCAAAGTAAGCTAATGCTGACTCCTTATAATTTTCTCACCAACTTGTAAAGGCAAATTAATTTAAAAAGTAAGTCTTAGTTAATCAAGTGTAGCCTTTTGGATCTGGAAAATCACATCTTTAGGACCCCTTATTTTATGTTTCTTTAAAAAAAAAAAACCAGAAAAAAATGGGGGGAAACAAATCAAAGCCAACCCTCTCCCTGTTCCTTAAGTTAATTCCCGGATATGGAGTCTTGACATGTAAGCAAAAACATTTTATCCATTCAACTAACTACCTGAGGCAGCACCACCCCGCTTAATGATTAGCTGATCTTATTTCTGGAAACTGAGAGTTACCTTGTAACCAAGCCTGTAATTCAAACACTTCCATATAAAAGCCAGAATTATTACCGCTAAATTAGAGGAATGTTTTATTGAAATTTCTGGTCGAAATACGTGCATAACAAAACTATACTATGGAGTTGAAGTGATCTTCGTTGTTATTTTCCTTCCTTAGAGATTAAGATTTTATTTATTGTATCATTTGAAGTATTTCAGCGTATGTGAGCTAATTGCTTCCATGTTACACTTGTTTTGTATTACTTCAAGTCCTGTTCAGTGTAATGTCAGGAGAAGTCAAGGCATTTAATTGCTGGGGCTGGATAATAAGTAGGTGACAAAGATAGAGGTTCTCATCTAGCCCGATTAATGTACTTCAAAATGTTTCAATATCTCAACAGCCATATTCAGGGTTGTTCACCTTGTGTTGTTGGGTTATTCATAAACAATTATATAGGGTCCATTTAAATGAGTAAACTGGAGTTTAACTCCAGCCTTCATCTTTACTCCTGATTGCATTTTCTGATAGTTCAACACAGAGACAAACAACAGATAGGTTATGCAGGTCCTTTAATTAG